GACATATGGATTACCTTAACAGGCATACTTAAACTGGCTAAACGCTTTGATGGTAGTTTATTACGGGCCGTACGAAGGCGTTTGTAGAACTTTCGTAACGCTCGTGACAGCAGGCGACCCACTTCCTTCAGAATGATCAAGAATATGGGAATACCCAACATTATATAGAATATACTCGCGATTTGTCCAGCACGAGTTTTGGCCACAGGCAATCCATAACCTGAAGTACATTTGCAATCAACGTTGCAAAATACGGAACAGAGCTTTCCGAACAATGACACTTTTGATCGAAGCAACGTCGGAATGCATAAGCATGAGTTCTCAAAGTAGACGTGAGCCTTACCATAGCTCGCTAGATCCCTTGAAGTCACTTGGTTCAAGTGACTTCAAACGGTTCAAGATCATCGTTCAAGACGTGCTCTCATTCTAACCCGAAAGCGGTCAAGCAGTTAAAGTTGTATGGTCTTCCTCTCCATATGACCAATCTGATATACCCATCGAACCGAAGCGGTTATGTTTTGCAGAATGTGCTCTCAAAGATACCTAATTAAAAAAGTTGTTTCTAAATGCCAGAACGGATTCAACACGATCCAAAAACCGAACGACCAATTCAAATCCGTTCCCTATTCACGAACTGATGAGTTGGTTCCTTGAATGGAAACTTGAATTCGAGTTCATGTATATTCTATCAATAACCCGTGTAATTACCCGAACTGGTGCGGAAAACGAACCGATGGTAGTATAAAGTTGTCCGGCATAAAACATCGAACCGTACCAAGACCAAGGACTTGGATCGTTACGTTCTTGAAGCACACTGGTCAGATTCAAATAGTCCATAAACCATTGAATCGCTTCACGCGTATGATGCATTTGCAATTGTTTATCAATCCTTATCACTGTGTCATAGCAACGAATCTCTAGCATTCGTTGTAAAACCTTCAATGAGAAGCTCATCACCATTGAATCGTGACCACGTCAACAAAAATATCCGTGACCGGACAATCTGTTTGAAGACATTTTGCCTAAGGACAGTTTGCCTAATGCAGTTTGCCTAA